CAGTGGTTTTATCAATTTAGAAAGGATATCGTACTATATCCTTCTCTCACTGACTCAGACTCTATAAAACTTAGTGTACCCACACAAATCAACCACTATAATTACCAATACTGGCAGCCGGGTGTCGTTCTCGAAGGTAGTATCCGCTATGACAACTATACTAACAATAGTTATCGCTCGACGGATTACAGAAAGTCTTTAATCGGAGGTCTTGACCGATAGCGCAGCAGTCCTGTCGCTGCATTGACATGATGTTGTATAAGAATTTGCATAAATCGTCCCGGTTGATCCACAGCAAAAGAAAAACTTGGTCTTGTACCAGTTGTTTGATAAAAAAGAAACCCAACAGTATGTTGGAAAGAACCTTTACCGGTAAGAGGTTATTGCATACTTGCTCCTGAATCAGTACTGCGGTGGAGTGGTGATCACAAATTCCTTGTGATCTCGACTCTCCACTGGCGCCCGGACGACCGACTAATGGATGGGTTACCCCGATTCCGTGCTCTGTGTATTCTTGCTCACCTTGTCTACTCGTCTGTGGGGCGGGTTGCGCCCTTCTTAATGGACTTGAGTTGAAGCTGAACTTGACCGTTTTGGGGATAGGTGTTGATCGGGTGAAAATTCTTCACCCGTTCAAACGTGGGGTGGATCGAGTGGAAATTCTTTACTCGATCGCAAGCACAATCGGGCGCTCTCCCAGAGTCGCCTGTATCCAAAGATGATTCTTGATCCGCGAGCCTCCTACCCCTTTGGCCGTCTCGAGATTTTGAATCCGAACCGTTAGGTTCCGTGCGTCCTATCGCAGTTGGGGTGTTTGTGAGAACTGATGTTCCGCCTGGCCAAACGATCCAAAGGCGAAGTGTGTAAAGACGCGGGTGACTCTCTATTTAACGGGAGGCCAAATTTCCTGCCCAGGAGAAGTCGACGCGTGTCTTTCGTTGTAAATTTAATTCTGTTTAACGTCAATGAACCAAATTAAATTCCTATGACTATGCCTATCTTTTCGCTAGATCTCTGTTGCATATCGCCTGTCTATGTTGTTCACCTCTTGCATCATGTGGTCCACAGCATACACTCCGTAGTGGATCGCGGTGTATAGGATAGCGGTATTTGATCCACACCAATTATGTGTCCACGACAATTGTGTGCCCACGCCAATTATGTGTCCACACCACCCAGCGGTACATAATCAGGAAAGATCGCGGTGCAGTGAGTCTCGGGGTAGTGGATCGCGGGGTAGTGGATCGCGGTATGTAATCCACACCAATTATGTGTCCACGCAATTATGTGCCCACACAATCAAGCATTACACACACAGGGTAGATCGTGATCAATCTTTCTAGTCTCTGATCGGGCATCCACCGTCGGGTCGCAGTCACTTCTGCGACCTCGCATGTTTGATGGTCTTGGCGATCCACTCATCCAGCTTGCTTCCATATTCACATATCTTCCATTGCCGTTAGAGATCCGGTACTCCGGTTGATGTTCACCCCTCGAGGGATCCTGTCCTCGTAATTTGGTGATCCAAGCCCTTGTAATTTAATGATCCAAGCCCTTGATCGCGAGTCGCGATCGGTCAACTATCAATCCTCGACTTTACTCCTTTTTGACCGTTAGGTGGATCAATTCGCGTAGCTTCGGCAGTCGTTTTCTGTCCCTCAGTCGTCTGATCCCATCCTGCGTCCCAACGCCACGGTTAAATCTCGTGATCACTTTACCACAAAACTCTATATTTTGTCAAAAGAGTATCGTAACCTGCTATAATAGACTTGTGTGATCGTGCTCAAAGGACTTGCACCGAAAATTAAAAGTGCGATTAATTTTCGGTGCAAGTCCTTCAATAAATTCCGATGAAGGTATATATTTCCTTCACCTCCTTAACACGATGTTATTTATTACTCGTTGATATTTCAGTCTGTTGTATACGACTCTTTGTTCAAACATCTTAATTATTATCTTAATATATATTTCATGGCACCGTGATTGTCGTCGATGAAAAGCAAGGAACACTACAAAAAAAATAGCACGTACAAATACCATCGTAGTTCCGCCCCACACCTATTCATCCCGTAATTGATCGAGAGTTTTTCCTCCCGTTTTTAATTTTTTAATAATAGGTTTCCAGCCAAATATGGCATCTTTGTGGCATGCGCCATGTCACTGGCATCGCATTGATATCGTTTCATCCTGCTTCTGTTTTAATACCTTAGGATGCATTATGATAAGGAGAGTTGACGTCCACTTAATTATAGTCATGGGTAGACTAACACTCGCTTCTATCAGTATTCGAATCGTCAATACGCAAGAAACAGGTAATCAGTTCTAAAGCATCAACAATACAGCGCTAATGGCTACCCAGCGCCATCGGTCGTGTCGAAATTTTAACACGTAGCCTTAATGATCCGTCTTCACGGTAAAAAAAGTCATCATGATCCTCATCGCCGTGTTCTCAGTAAGGACTCAATCTCATCGCATGTCGATGTTGCGTTTTGACCTCATTTTCCAGGATACCACCCTTTTCACATTACATGATGCTTTGGTTTCTGTTTGACGTCTCCAATTAAGACTCTTCATTGCGTTTGATACATTCAGAAACAAAAAAATGTGTTACACTTACTTGCATTGTATCAATGGTACTCCAATAACACCGCTGTGTTCGTCTACATGCTTCATCAATTTAGTTCAATTACCTGACCAGAAGCTGATGAGGAGAAAAGGATATCAATCAATCAGCATTGCCATTTTTTAGCGCACTTCAATCGTATTTATCGGAGATGCGAAGGTCCTTGCTCACATTATTTTCATCTGTTCAGGGTTTGTCTGGCCCAAATTTCTTTGGTGTGTCGAAAACGCTTTTGTACCCAGAGGAGTAGACCCTTCCGCATATGACAGTGCACATGTTGAGAGAGCTCATTCTCGTCAGACGTTGCTCCTTCTGATCCGCATCAATCGCACTTTGCGACATGCTTCTTGGGATCGATCGATTCACCAGTTGGCTTTTAGATGGGTGTCTAGTGCAATGGGCACCTCGCTCATTATTTACAATTATAAAAGTATCTGGATGATGTTATAGAGAGATGTTGATTTTACCATATGCGCTTGCGACTCGCTAATACTTATGCGAGATATTTCATGTGTGACTGGACACTTATCAACGGCACTTATTGTAATAATTTCCACAGGTATATTCCAAAATTCTTTCGATCAGCGTGACAATTCTTGTCTACTCGTTGAAGGGATTCGACAGTTAAGCGCAGACAACAGTGTTAGCAGGCACCACGAAATCTCACGTACACTTACATGCATAAAAACGAGTAGACTTACGTATTACATTAATGCAAGTCGAAACTACAATTATGTATGTTACTGAAAACGTATTAGTGTATCTATTCAGCATTCATTTCACTGAGTCATTATACAAAATGAGTTTTGATAGCAAGACGCCCATTGCTTGCTTTATCATATTTTAGACGCTTAATGGGGAGAGGCAGTCGCCAATATCAACCGATCAGCAAAAGTCACTGTAATAACCTATACAAGTCATATTGAATATTCGATACAGATTATCACGCATTAATATTCTATAAATCAATGTAAAAAATGGGTTCATTCAATTACATCTAAGGTTGTGCTGAGGCATAACCCCACTTATAAAACAATCAATACAATTAAAACTCCATCAGAGATGTTCAAGTCGTAATATGCTGACAATACTTTTGATTGCATAAGATTGATACAACTTCAATTAAAGTAAAACATTTCATTATTTTATATGTGTAGCAAACATTCTTGCTATATTATTTAGACATTTACGATGACGGTCGCTATTTACCAATTACATATCGCTAACCACTACTCACCTTCCATTTAAAAAAACTGCATATGTCTCTCGTGCTGTTATTGGCTACATGTAAAATCATTAAAAATTATAAAGAAACGCAAATCTTTTGCGCGAATCATAAAATCGTGGAAAGGTAGAAGCGTGTTTACGCTTTTAGCTTTTGCGGGTGTATATTGACTTTTAGCAAGCGACGTCATGTCCAGGTACTGATCATTAATTTTGGTGGGTGTCAAAAATGCATTCATTCGTCCTCAGCACCAGAGTATTAATAGTGATTCATGCAATCATGCATGGGCCCAAAGAGGTGGCCGACATCTTGTTCTATTGTATCCTACTTCTCCGCCGTTATTGCATCGACGTACAGGCCGCAAAGAATACGTCGCGACTTTCGACTGCGATGGATCCCGTTGAATAGATAGAAATCTGCGATGAGATTCCCAGCGATTGATGCTTAAGACAAACAACAGGACTCCCGCGGCCATGCTGAACCGATGTATGCAGAATCATGCAACCGGAAGTACATCTAGATGGTCACGGAGAGCTCGCAGCCTGCACGAGGTTCTCTCTTCAAATTAATCTTGGATGCGCGTCATTGTCCTTCAATTAATGTGTGTGCTATGCACATTACCTCTTGTCGAGGAGACTGCACCGAATACTAGTGTGAAGCAAAAAATACATGATGATGTAAGTAGTGTTTTATATGCCAAAGTCTGTGTATAAATAAAAGGATTGTTTAAAAGCGCCAAGATTAGTTTAGTGTAATAATTTCTAGTAATTTGACAAGCCAAGTACAATATCTAAAATGTAGGATGAGTTGTGTTAGCGAAAAGTGGGTGGTTAGGAGCCGCTTTCTTTACTGTATCATAATCATTGCAGGAGTAGTTATTGTATGTACAAAGTTTGAATTGTTGTACAGAACTTATATATTTCAATTCTATCTCTAGTGGACATAGGTACAATAGTCAATTTGGCTTTTTTCTATCCCATAGTAAAACATACATATACAGTGGGGTCTCCGTACTTCAATATTCTATAAGTAATAAAACTACTTACTTATTAAACGTGTCGAGTCCAATGTTGGGCCCAGGCCAAATATTGAAAAAACCCTTTGATTTTAATTCTTTAAGCCAGAGAATTTTTCCGCCATACATATATTAAACTAATACCGGGGGACCACTTCATTAAAAATATCCAGAGTTTGTTGCTTAGAGGATTTTTGCCGAAGATTTCCCACCTGATCCTGCATTTTCTGAATCGTCCCTGAGAACTCCTCTCCAGTCTCCTGCTGCAACCAGAAAGTCTTGAGCGCTACAAGAATCGGTGCAGCGTTCCGAGTAGAGACGGGCGGTGCGGTCACGCTATCTTCTTCCTTAATGTAGTTGCCACGGGCTGACTTTGGCATTTGAACCCTATCGAGAATCTCTACCTCTGTCGGAGTGTAGATCATCTGCTCTTCGTCGGGATTTTCGAGCAGTAAGTTGCACTCAGGCTGCACATCCAGAGTCCATGCTGCATGCGCCAGCTGAATCGCCTCCAAAAAGTTGATCTTTGCTGCGTCCGGCTGATAGTTCTCAAGTCGATCCAGGAGCTGCCAATCAAAGCGCCTGCGGTAATACGCTTTAAAGTTGCGCATAATTCTGGCATCGCAGGGCTAAATCTTGCTGGTCGCATTGGACGGTTAATACCTGCGGGATATCCACGTTGGCGTTTGCAGCGTTGTCCGTGTCGAAGGTGCGGAGTTTGCAGTGCTAAAAGCAGTTGCGGATGCACTCAGGCTGCACATCCAGAGTCCATGCTGCATGCGCCAGCTGAATCGCCTCCAAAAAGTTGATCTTTGCTGCGTCCGGCTGATAGTTCTCAAGTCGATCCAGGAGCTGCCAATTAAAGCGCCTGCGGTAATACGCTTTAAAGTTGCGAATAATTCTGGCATCGCAGGGCTAAATCTTGCTGGTCGCATTGGACGGTTAATACAGCAGAATTGTATTCTGCAGATTGATCCCGTCGTCTTTCAGATCCTCCTCCTTGATGTGCGCGGAGCAGTTGTCGAGGATAAGAATAATCTTGCGACCGACAACATGTTTGGCGAGGGCGTCCAGCCATGTTTGAACACGTTGCGAGTCATCGACTCGTTTTGTTGGCGTGATAGGTAACGCTCAGGTTTCTGCGGTCCACATTTATGAAACAGAGTGGGTTTAGGAACTTTCCGATGACCCACAGCGGAAACTCGTCAAATCCGTCTGTGTTGCTGCAGATGGCCATCGTAATCCGCTCTTTGCTCTGCTTCGGACCCTCCAGCTGGTGTGTCGAAAGCGATGAATCTACCTGCATTCGGTAGAACAGGCCGGTCTCATCCATGTTGTAGATATCGGCGGCGTTGTACTGGTCCAATTGAGCGCGCATTTTCGGCAGTCGCTCCTCCAGTGCTTTGACGTCGACAGATTTGACTTCGCCAAAGCGACGGTGCATGCGGATGCCGTGGTGATTTCTAAATTTCTGCAACCAAACGATTGAGAATGCGAGTTCATCCTCATCCTTGACGGTTGGATACAGCGTCTTCATAAAAGATACCGTTTTTTCATAGATCAGGTGTCCGCTGATGTTGACAACAACCCGGTACTCAATAACCCACCGAGCAAGCGCCGTCTCCACCAGTGGGTACGTAATCGCACGCTGCCGCTTGGAATGGAGGGCTGAATTGCTCATGGCTTGACCTAGCAGGTCTGCAGAACGCTTCAGGACGTTGCTGATTATCCTTTGGGTGATCGTGACTCCATGCTCGTCCAGCATCCACATACACACAGCTTCCTGGGTGATGCATGGACGTCTCTTCTTCTCCATGCAGATCTCCTTGCGGAGGACGTCTGTAAGGGTATAGCCATTGGCGACCATGATCGAGGTGAACACGTGTAGCACCCTTTGCTTTGACCCTATCCTCCTAACTCTGCTATTTAATAATCTCTTTATTCAATTAAATTTGGTGGTCCTAGCCATATTAAATAAGGGAGATTCTACGGTATGAGTAGATATCAATTCGTGTGTATTACAATATTTGCAAATACAAGTTACAGTTTATCCCAATTAAGATTTTAGAATAGAAATGATCCTACTAATTTGATATTGGAATATATATTATCCATTGCTCTATCGAGATATAAATATAATTTTACACAAATATATTATAACCGATTGCATGATTCAAGAGCAGAAGGTTATTTCTTGTTTTACAGATAAACGTGTCTGTATGCATTTACCATGAGTATGAGTAGAACCCTATATGAGCCCTAGTAAAAGTCTCTTTATTGAATGTATTCTCGGTTCGACATCCGAGGCTACTACTTTTTGTGATTTGTAGTCCAGTAGGCGCGACATACAACCACATACTTTCAGCACCCAAGAAGATTATCTGGCTGACACTTCATGTACACCTTTCGTCGTATCGAGGAAGGCGCACGTCAATAAAAAATCGAGCTAACGGTTTTACGTGATCGATATCGGACTTAGTTCCATGCATAGCTTCGAAGGGTGTTTTGCAGCACCCTTCATATATATGTGATTCTTGGTATACAATGCATTTCCAAGTGCGTATAACTAGATGACTCCGAGACAAAAGCATCATTATTTTTACGATGTTAATAAGCTTTAGATGAGTCCGTTTCACCAAGTTCACAAATTTTGTTTCTGGGATGACTTGTATACGAACGATGCCTTTTGCATTGTACCACGCCTCTACTTATGTCATTGTAGAATTCCTGCCCCTTGTCAGTCAATATTCATTCTACAACTTCGTCGTGCTCTTCATGATCCACGTGGTGTCGACACTGTCGCTCTGCCAAGACAATATATTTATGCATGCTCTTTTTCTTCTGATCCTCGGATTCATTCTTGAGCGGGTGTTGTAACGTACGACAAAATCCATCCACCATCAATTGAAAAGAAACACAAATCGAACTAGTTTCGATCTAGGAACTACCGAATTCACAAGGACGATGTCAAGTATCCTGTCGATCTACTTGTTGGGAGACTTGCGATGGGCCTTTGTCGCTGCTTACCGAAATAGCAAGCTTACAATTGATTAGTTCACAAAGATTGAGAACCATGCTTTGCCATGCCACGTTCCACAAAATGTCGAACATATTTAGGACAGGGAAGAACCTAAAGTTCGTACCAAACATTAATACCCTTTTCTTACACCACCCACTAATGCAATTTTCGCACACAAACGTCTCTTCTTAGTCAATTTCTGGTTTATCCTCGTGTATTCATCGACTATATGGGTGTCAAAGTTTACAAGTTATATAAACCTTTGTGCGAACGACTTCAAGATCAGCTGAAACAATCCAAATGATATTGCATTGATATATTAATTCAATGTAAAGTCTTGGTGCAATGCCAGGCCCGTTGAAACATGTTGCATTCGGCGCCTAAGGCGTAAAACGCATCATTGACACGAACAAAGGCACCTTTTTGTTGTCGAACTTACAGCAAGCATGACTAACCCGAAGCTTGTGCCTTGTCAGTCACTCCGTCCGCGGACACAGTTATGTCGGTATCTCATTTACTTCCATCCCTAATCTGCAAGAACGCAAAATATTTCGTGCACGCAAAAACTATGTGGATCAGATACGGATCAAAGGGGGCCAGCGGCTTGCGTTTTGACTCAATACGAACTTGTGAAACAACTTGTTGACAAGAACTGCGTGATAATTGGTCGTCTTGGCTACGTGATCGTTTATTCACAAATGTTTAGGTCATCTGTCTCTTCGTTTGACTCGTTCATGGAATAATCGTTCTTTATGGAATTGAGGACCCATTTTTTTACGATCGACAGCGAATGATCTCTACGTGCTTGTCTTCTGGTATGCGACTTTCTAGGGTACGCCTTTGCTTTGAGTGCAGGAAGTCCTGTATATAATGCCTATGAGCTAAACAATGCAAGTAGTTCTTTTTTGTCTTTCATGCCTACAACATGTTCACACCTGGAGACTTCTTATACGAGCCTTCATGAAAAACTGGTTCAAAGACAAATACATTCATGCTGCTCTTTATTATACAAATACATTGGATTCCCATTTGAAACAGCTTGTTTTTCATAACCCTGAACGTTGCCAAACACGACTCTCCAGTCTTAGTTTCGGGCCGTAGCAGTCAAACATCTCGCGAATGAGCTCCAAAGTTTATTTGCGCATGTCCAAGCTAATTAGCACTTTCTTTGTTATTTGTTCACGTCCAAGCTAAATAGCACCCTTTTCTCTTATTTGCTGTAGCAAGTTTGTTTGCAATAAGCTTCGGAGCATCGGATCAACTTACGGGTGATCTAAACTTTGTCAAGTCGCTGAGAATCATTTACCGGTGATCCAAGTTCTGCCAACTACTTTCAATTCGAATCAGCGTGCGTAAATACCTTCAGACGTTACCAGTTGTACGCAGACGAGTCCCGTGTGAATCACCATGTAGAAGATATACTTTCTGCGCCCTAGTAGCATCATTGGCCTTGCCTTCGTAGATAGACACAGCTCAGTACATGCTTCGTTTCCATAGTTCTTGTCCATCAGCTCTTGTGACAGCCTAGTGGAAAGTGAACGTAAGATCAGCATCTGGTATTGTATCATTCCTTTGCAAGCTAGTTGACTTACGGGACAATTTCAGACCGACCTGTAACAAGCATCTACATCTTCTCATTCTGATCTGCTCCGCAGAAACACCAGTTCTCACGTTAATTCCATCTAGAGCAGTCTAGGACGACGACAACTTGCACGTGCACGTCCGACGGAGCAAGAGTCGTCGTCGCCGCTTTCTTGCTCCTATGATTCACACATCGCCTTAAGCAGCTATGTCTGCTGCGCTTTCCGCTATGTAAACGTAGTCATCAGTGATAACTTGGATCGTAATGCGAGACATATGCGGAAAACTAAGTGGTAGACCTTGGCTAATGTGCTATCCAAATGACACAATCATCGTTTTGATGGTATACATTGCCAATTTTTACAAGTGTGCAGTATAAGTATCGGACTACATCGACATATTGGGAAAAGACGGCGTGGTATCTCAACGGAAAACGCTCATCATTAGTATATTTTTCTCGAGATGTTGAGGTAATTGAACAGCGCTGTGCGTTGTGGCGCTCCTTATTTCAATATCTGTAGGAAATGTAAAGATCATACTGATAGTCATTGGTTATGCCGGAAACAGGTCTCTTTTCCCTCAAGCTGGGCGTTGTCGCTTGATCAATGTACGCTTTCTCTTCATGAGAGAGTTCGTGACTTTTCGAAGCACATGGCTGCACTCAAACTAGTGTCTCTATTTGATCCTGTGTCGGCATAAGCGGACCGTGCCTCATTGCGGCATCAAGGGGACGTAAGAGATTTGTGAAGGTGGACGGTTGGTTGGAACAGGAGCTGGGAGCTGGATCTAAAGGTTTCATATACGGTATCCCATATCATTCTTAGAGGTTCATTTTCACGCCGGAGAAGATGAGAATGCTTGGTCGAAGCTCCATGGAGAACAGTGTCTCAAAAGAGGTCTTGGAATTGCAGAAGAAAATGACAAGGTCAATTGGAATGCGATGGATGTTCGATTTATCCGAAATTAAATAGAAAACCAAAAGGCTTACACTCTTCATCTGCTCTCCTCTACCCCTCTTACACAACGCGTGCATGATACACGTTAGTGACCGTCACCATTGGCCCGGCAGTAAAAACATCTCTCACTTCGATGGTCCGAGACGATGCCTGACTTAAACATGCAACGTCTACAATAACACGTGCCTTTGTCGACAGTGCATACTATAGACGATACTACTCTAGTCATCTTCGTTCGCTCGTCACTAGTTCTTGATGAAACAAGAAGAGGATCAAGGTCAGAGGAGGACGATAAAAACGGTGGAATGATCAGCATGGTTGCATATGTCAGAGCAAGGTACAGTAGAATCGAATAATTGCCGTCCCACATAATGCTTGCTCTTCGGGATCGATGTTGATCAGAATATCGGCGGTCCGATTATAGACCTCTTGCGACCTTTGACTTGTTCGCGCAACGCAAAATGCACCTGACCAGTCATGACTTGTGATGGAAGTAGCTTTCCTAATCATATCGTTGTTCATGTCCACGGCGTCTGATACGAGTTGTATCGTGCCCCCAACGAGCCAATTTATATGTAAATCAGAGTGATATAGGCCAGTCTGACAGCTTCGTCACATTTTACCAGGCAAACAAAAGCGAATTTGTGGACTGGACATCCAATAAATTATAGGTCGTTATGACAGAATGGAGGTTATCATATCGAAAGAAGTGTTGGAGTAATGTGCACACATTTTGTCCTTCGGGTCAAGAGTCTTTTTCTAATTTTTGCGGTGTCTCGAGAAAAAAGGTTTATAAAAAGCTGTAGTTTGTGATGTGCGACTGCTTTTTGACACACAAAGAAAATGGAAAACCTAGAGGCATGAGAAAAGTGGTCACTCGCCCATACACATTCGAATTGGCACGAAGGGGTACGCGAGACATTGACGAGGGTTACACCGCCACCGAAACCGCGCAGCGTTTTGCTGACTATTACGCGCCTGGTATTCCCGGGCTCCCGTGCCCTCCATCGCTGTCGCTATCCCCTGCAACTATCTACCAGCGCTCTCTCTCGAGAGAGAGTGCATTCACAGCCTCTGGAATCCGACCACCGGTGCTGTACCGACAGGAACACGGACGATGGGCAGAGGTCAGAAGAAATTCATGGTGAACGTCGTGCTCTACAAGTGTGAGGACCTGGCAACTGCCGACCTGGACGTCGTGGACTGCAAAAGCGACTCGTACGTGGTCTTCACACTGGGCGGTGATACGCAGAAGAGTTCGTGCGTCGCGAACGATCTCAACCCGCGCTGGTCACCGCCCGAGAAGTTCCAGTTCGAGCTGGACGAGTGGCAGAACAAGTTTCTCCTCGCGCAGGTGTTCGACTACGACCGGCTGAGCAAAGACGACCTCGTTGGCTCAGCAGTGATCCCCCTGGCACTGTACGCCGGTCACCGGCACTGCGAAAGGTACAGCTACCCGCTGGTGTTGCCAGAAGAGGTGGGCGGGCTCGGAGCTCCTAAGAGCGACTTGTTCTTGCAGATCAGTTTAGTGGCTAGTGACGGCAGTCCCGTCGAGTATTACTATTAAAGAGCTCTTTGACAGATGGTCTGCCCCGTGCCCTTTGCGACGCGCGTCTGCGCTCGTGTGGTCAATCAGCACGCAGTCAGTTGGCGTCCGTCTGCCTTTCTCCAGCGTGTTGACGCGCTCGTGGCCTGCGCGAAACCGAGCGCTACATGAACCGAGCGCTACATGAGCCGAGCGCTACATGTATACCGTTTACGCGCGCGCATTGTTATGGACGGCTGACTGGCTTTTCGGGATGGTGGTACTCGCGCCGTACAATCTCAGTGCAATGTAGAGGCTCGAGGGCGGCTTTCGCGTTTCGTTGCGTGGCACGCGTAGAGATCCACGTACTGGCGACTTGGCGACTTGGCCGCTGCAATGCGATGCAGCGGGTGGGGACCACAGCTCAGGATTGACACACGGAAGAAGAGTCACGCGCGACGAGAAGGGGGACATAGTCACGCGGCAGAGAAGAGAAAAGCCGAACGGCTGCGAGGCAATGCGGCGGGTGTGATGTTCCCTTCGTGTCACGGAGCGTAGTAGCGTTCGCAATAGGGCGACCGCTTGGCTGCTTTTTGCCAGCTACCACGGATTTCAGGCACCTGCACTCGGTGTCGCTTCCACCTGCGATTCGGTGCTCGGAGCCGCACGGCCTGCACATACATACCCGTCGTTAGACGTGTTCCTACCTAGACGCGAACAGTTATCGCCGTGCGATTTGTGGCCCTCTGCTGCTGACCTCTTCGCCACGTCTACAAGCGGTTGTACCACTTCGTTGCTCCTGTAAAAGTTGTTACGTCCAGTTTCGAGGCAGTGAGTGCACATGGCCCTCCGGCACAACTATGCCGAGTGAGTGACACGTCCGTCCGTCCGTCCGTTCGCCGAGAAAAAAAGCACCGTGGGCCGGCTATGAAACGGGCCGTAGGGTCGCCGCCCCTCTCGTTCGATTGTTGGGGTGTTTGATCCGCCCCACGGTATAGCACCGGGTGCCCGTCGTCGATCCCTTGAGATCATCGAACCTGCGTTTCGTATGCCGCCGCCCGGCACGACCGTCGCCTGCGTTCCTACCCACTGGAAGAAGCACAAGCGGAAGAAGAAGAAAAAAAGTGGGCTGTCGTACGGCCGGCCGCTCTCTATCCTCCTCTCCATAGCACACGTCGCTTCCACCGCTCCCCTTTTCCTCGCGTGGGATACAGCGCCCGCAGGCCCCGAACCGCCACCGGGACGTTCCCTCGCGGCAAAGAGATTGCGCCCTCGAGCTGTGCGTTCGACGGCCACATTCGGATTGAGTCGGCCGCGTGCGTCGCCATTCGCTTTCGAGAGCGTAAACTGCCATCGGATCGATCGCCACGCGCGACAGCAGCGCGCAATTCGCACCAACGAAAAGTGTCAACTACAGACCGACAGACCGACCGACAGACCGACAGACCGACCGACAGACGGCCCGTTCGTCCGTCCGTCCGTATCAATAAATAAATAAAGAAATAAATGCGACGCGATAGGCCCTTCGAGCCCGTCGGTCGTCGTCGGCCACCGGTCGGTCCCTTCCACGCACTCCCCAAGTCGCGTCGCATGAGCCGCACGGCCGGGAACAAGACCACGGGCCACGCGCCCTCGACGCTCATGCTCGAGCGCATGCAGGAGGCGGCGTCCGACTTGGCCGTCCTGGCGACCACTGCGTCCGGCTGGCGCTTCGCGAACGAGCGCAACGGCGCAATGCTCTACGAAATGACCGGCCGCAAGTTGCCCGCGAGCGTCTCGACGGCGCACAAGTTCGGCCGCGGGGCCGGCCACTCGTCCGACTATTACCTCGTGCGGGCGGTCACGACGGTGCACACGGACGTCGCGGCGCTGTTGGACCTCTTGCACTCGTCGACGACGGACGAGTTCCGCCTCGTGATGAAACAGGTGTTCGACCCGTACTTCGCGCGCGGCGTCACGCTCGACGAGTTGACGTGCACGACGCCGCCGCCGTTCGCCGCCGATCCCGACGCCGGCGCCGACGGCGCGCGCCGCAGTTTCTCCGAAGACGACTCGTACTCGGTCAACTGGCTCACGCTCAAGGCGCAGGACAAGGCCGGGAGTGCCGAGCGCCTCCGCGACTTTACGCTCGTGTGCTACCAGGACGCGTTCGCCCGCCACGACTCGGGGGCGCTCGAGCGCGTGGGGCGCGGCACGGCCCGAGCGCGCTCGAACACGCTGAACTTTCAGCTGCAGAGCACACTCGTCGGCGTGCACGTGCTCAGCAGCGTCAACTTCCCGAACGTGCCGGAGCTGTCGATGGCCGAGGCGGGCATTGACCGCCTGCACTTGCGCAACTCGGGTTTCGTCGTGGAAGAGACGGCGGAGCCCAATGTGCTGCGGCTCTCGTTGCTGCTGTCGCTCTTGCCCACGAAAGCGACGCTCAAGTATGCGCGAAAGTACCAGCGCTGGCTGCAGACGCTGGCGAGCTGCGTGGGGAACCTGTCGCGGGCGTTGCGGCCAGAGGTGACGCTGCACTGCTTGAGCAGACTCACGTGGAAGCGGAGTGACCACTGCTTCATGTGTCTCAAGATGTTTCGCACGTTCCGCCGGTGCCACCACTGCCGCTTCTGCGGCGAGTCGGTGTGCAGCGCCTGCTCCCGCATGGTCAACATGGCCGGATACGAGATCACTGACGGCAGTGGCAGTACGTTGGCGGCTAATGCGAATGGCGTCTTGACGTCGCAGGGTGACGAGGCGACGAACTTGGAGTGTAGCCGCATTGGAGACGTGTGGCAATCGACGACCGGAGATGAACTGGGCAGTTCTCGCAGCAGCTATGGAACGCGCAGTCTGCGCGAGACGAGAGGTTGCAACGTCTGCGTGTCGGATTTGCGCAACGGGTTGGCGATGTCTGCAATTGTGAAGATGCGGAAACACCCCGACTCTGGTGTCTGTAGCGGCGAGAACTCGAACAGTGACGGTGATGACTGCGCTATGCTTGATCGATCGAAAGACAGGCAGAGCGCTGGCAACGATGATGACGAAGTCGTTTCGTACGACAGCGCGGACGATGTCAATTACGAACGCCGTCTGGGCTCAATAGCGACCTACATCCCGTCGATGGACGGGATGGGTGCGATGGTAGAGGACAGTGAACCATACACTATGAGCAATTCGGGCCTGGATGAGCCGGTTGATGAGTTCTTGGTCACGCCTGAGGAGCTGCAGGACAAGTTCCCAGCCGTCGACGAGCCAGCTCCACTGCGCTTTCGAACTGCGTCCGACCCGAATCAGCTCCGTCGCATGCGCAATGTGTCGGACCCGGATCTGCCGCAGCGGCTTAAGGACAAATACAGCATGGTGTCGATGTCCACCGCTAGCAGCTCATTCTCGCGTTCGTCGAACGATAACGCGTCGCAGTATTCACGTGGCACAAACTTCTCGGCCATGTCGGACGAATACTCGGCTTGCGATCTATCTCGTGATCCGGACATCCTGGCTCTTGCCGGCCTGAGGCCCAGACCATCTGATGATCAATACGAGCTTGCTCTGAGGCAGCAACCTTTGGCGCCTTTCAGAACACATCACGAACAAGTTTATTTGCCTGAGGAGGACGAGAAAGCGGTGGCCATGGAAGCAGTATTTTTGGCAAAACGCAACAAGGACGAGGTTGTAGCCACCACCGAGATGACCTTTCCCGCACCGTTGTCCGGCAATGGCCATGCTGGCGCTCGATTTTGTGTCGGCTCGGCCAGCGCATGTGACGGTCTTGTGGTGCCTCAACACGATCACTTTGTTCGCGCCGACGTTCTTCGCCACCAGAGCCAGACCACTTCGACTTCGTCCCGGGATCCCGCTACGACCTCTCCATTTTTTTCGGCAGCTCAATCGAGCGGTTGCGAGGCAAAGCCTCAACCCTTTGCCAGCTCCGGCGTTATGCCCGCTGGAACTCACTGCAATCCAGCGCTAGGGTCGGCATCCGCTTTGTCGTCAGCCAAGAGCAGCGAGCGCCATTTCAAAAGGATGAGTAGCGATCCGTCAGCTCACAGTGGTGATCTCGATTTATCGAGAGCGAAGATTGAACCATCAAACAGACCGGCTGACATCGAAGCAGCTGCGGTCGCTGCATCGACAGAATCAATTTGCTGCGCAGTCAGAGCACAGGAAGCTCAGAGCTTGTCGATACCGAGTGGCAGCAAATTTCATATGGCTTCGACGATGCGACGGGGATCGATGCCGTTGCCTATGCGCCACACGGACCGACTCCCTGCTTCGATTCCAGAGCGCTGTACGGCATCGGACGAGTCAACCCGTAACGATATGATCTTGCTTCCGGTGTCGAAGAAAGCGCCAGCGGACTTTGTCGTGTTTTCGGACTCGATGCGTGAATCGATATTCATGCGGGCGGACGATGGTCAAGACATGATCCCGCTGGATTTTTAGGCCACCTGCAGACGAACGAAGTCGAGGTGCAGTTGAAGTGCTCGAACGAAGAGCTATTTTTATTTAGGGCTTGGTCGTATTGCAACTATCACCATGCGGTGAGCAGATGTTGAGGTGCCTTGCGATCCGCCTTTTCCAGTATCAGTTCTGGAGTTCTGTGTACTTCGTTCGCGTTTAGCTAATGGTAAGCAAGCGCATGGACGAAGTCCATCTCTCTGTCACCCTCTTTCTTGCATTTATTTGTCATCATGTCTTGTGTCGGAAGACATGAAATGAAACGTTTGCTTGATACTGCGACTATGGCAGATGTCTGGAACAAAGTGGTAGCGATGATGGAGACGTCGTGTTTGTACACGGATTCTCGCATACGATTATAATGTGGCCTGTGTGGTAGATTTCTAGTACCCGCCAGAATCTAGTGAGCATCTCCTTGATCCGTGGCTACTGCTGCTTGAAATGGGCATGCGGCAGGAATGATGTGCCCATGAGGACCAGTGTATCTGCAACTTTTGTGCTGAATGCGTTTGTAACCAAGACAACTTTCCCACGCCATACGCAGTTGAAACCACAGCAAGAGGAATCCCCCCAATGGTCGACAATGCTTGCTGTCTTGAAGGTGGTTTCTAGCTGTTCTGCGGTCTTCGGGTCGAGACGTGGATGTAGTCTGACGGGTGTGGTGTGCCCGAAACCAATTCACACTGCTGTATAGCAACAAAAAATCGGATGAGCCTCGCACTTGGCCGCCAATGTCTCGGACACCAAGTGCAAATCTACACACATAGACTTGCGAGAGTGGCTGGAAGAACGTGTGATGACTCGTGCAAACCGGATCCTACCGTTTCTAGTGAGCATGCTGCACTATCGACAAACAAAAGCCTCGCTTGCATTCGATTACTGCATCGGCTACAAGGTCTATCTATCTATCTATCTATCTATCTATCTATCTATCTATCTATCTATCTATCTATCTATCTTCTACCCTCCGAGAGAAAGCTCGCTGTAAAGAAAGACTGTGATGGAGTAGTATACTATCGGTTGCGCATGTTTCGCAAGCGCCGTCAATGACAAGATCTGACTGCAAGTGGCAACGCCAACACGGCCGGTCATGTTCGCTGCGACGTTCTCTTCACCAATAAAAGTCTTCCACTGGACTACCGTCTGCATCCAGCAGACTTATCTGCATGAATATGTCGCTCTTGGGCGCCCCTATCCCGCCGACTTCATCGGGCAGCACCAACGGGTAGCTGCACATCGCGCAGTTTCGGTTCCCGGCATAAAGGGCCAAGGGAATCACTGCCGAGCCGATTAGACCCTCTTCGTCGTGGTGGCTGTAGTCGAAGACTTGGGCGATGAGAAACTCGGCCTCCCACTTGTCCACCTCAAAGTCGAAGCTCTCGGACGGCGACCAATGTGGGTCCAGGCTGCTCTTGACGCACGAGCTCTTCTGCGTCACGCCGTCCAGCGTAAGCGCCACGTACGCGTTGCATTTGGCCCCCACTTCGTTTGTCGTTGCGACGAGGTCGTGGCACTTGAAGAGCACCACTTTGACCGAGAACCGGTCGTGCTTCATCGTGTCGAAAGGAGAGTGCGGGAGTCGGTCGGTCGATCGATCGACTGACTTCAAAGCGGCGCGCGACCGACCCGTCGTCGCATGTCGACCGTCCACCGGGAGATTGATGAAGCGGCGGCGAAATGTGGTGGCGTCGTACGTAGTAGTAGTAGTAGTAGTAGTAGTGGTAGTAGTATCATTGCCACATAGATGGGGGAACCCCTCGCTGTGGAGTGTCATGTGTGTGACCCGTGCGCAGCTTCGCCTCGCGATTCGTTGAGCGACTGCCTTTCTGCGGGACACGACAAGGCGGTCATGTGCGAGCGAACTTGTCGTTGGGTGTGTCACAGCAGAGGCTTTGACGACGCGCAGCAGCTTTGAGGCGGGAGTGATCCCGACCGCATCGAAGTACCTGTTGTTGGCCAAAGGGCTCCACAGCAGCAGTCTGTCCTATGCCTCTGCATCTGCGATTGGGTTAAGTGGCGCAGGCCACGCACAGATGTCCTCTAGTCGCTTCTAGTGCTTTCTACAGCACAAAGCGTTCGTGCAAACGACGAGACAGTCGCGGAGCTCATTGCGCGTACGTTGATGCGATGTCCCGATTTGGCGATTTCCCAACGACATCGACGACGACTGCCCACGTTTGACGGGCGACGACCATCGCCCAATGTCGTGGAGATGCGATTGACAGCGCGTTCGTTGTTAGTCGCGACGAGGCAGAGTCACGACTGCACGTGGACATGGCACGCGTTTCCTCTTTCGGGGCGCAAATGGCACAGTGCTTTTGACGGCACATGACCGATGCTGATATGCTGACGTCTGGAAGCCGATGTGAATGAAAGTTCCGCCGTCGACTCGATCAGTTTTGCAAAGTGAGCAAAAAGAGCCACCGGACGTTTTTGTGTACAGTGCTACCAACTGCAACAGTGCTACCCGAGTACAACAGCGCACGGCGTCTCCTACGAAGTGAATGGATGTCCAGCATTGGACCAGCACCTGATCAACACGCTTTGGCAATGATGCTTTCTCCTCGAGGATTGCACTCAGTGCAGCCCCTTGTCCACATTTATCGTGCACATTGTTTCTGCAGTACCGTTCTCAACTTGACACCTCGCGCACTGAAATGCTGGACAAGTACGTCAAGACATTGTTCTTCGTTGACTGCGTTCTTCGAATCTGTCTGCCGCTTCAATGTGGAACACAAAATGGACGTTGCGGCTGCTTTTTTGGAGCTCAGTATCGGCAGCAGTAAAAAGACAGCGATCTTGAGTTCGCACAATGCAAGTACAGTCTTGTTTCGAAAATGAATCGACGCTCCATCTCATCGTATGCCGAACCACCTGCTGCGTTTGGCACAACTGCTCGTCCGGATTGCTTCGCTTAAAAAACTCAGTTTGAGTAGATGCACTCGCCCTTCTTGTAGTCCTTGTTGGCTTTTGGATAATGTGTTGTACTATTGGCAGCAGTACGTGTTGCACGTGCTCGCATCCGCTACAGCCGTCGACGTCAGATGTTCTGCTCGGGCATAAATATCGGTTACATGGCGTCAGCGGCGCGTTGAGCGACAACCTTGCGCCTACGTTGCTTCTTCGTTTGTCCATCCGGCAGCTGACGCATGGCTAGTTGGTAAAGCAGCAATAGCGTTGCTGATCGAATACCGGCAATACGACTGGCGGCAGATATCGTGGTGGGCTGTGCATGCTGGAGCTTCTCCCGTTCCTCGTTTGAGATCATAGGCAGCTTAGAGTAGTCGACCCACGTCGGGATCTGCACGTGTTGCTTGTCGCGAAAGACGCGAATCTCTTGGTGCTGGGCACGTAGTTGCGTCGCGTAGAGGCACTCTGTCTTCATAAGCTCTTTGATCTCGTCGGGTAATGCATTCGCGTGCTCGTAGCCAACGTCACGCCAAATCCGCTCAATATCGTGTGGAGCCACGGTAGCGAACGCCAGAACCTGGGCAGCACTTCGTTTCACACCGTCAAGACCCACTTTGACGCCAAGACGATTCCACTCGTAAGGATCGCGCACAAATTCGTCCAGTGCTCTGCGAGCGTATTCCATTAACGTTTCTTTGTGGACCAACTTCTCCATGCGCTCATTCGAGATGCCAGCGCCACAATCGAATGCCTTGCGAGTAAGGCGTAGGTCGGCATTGTCGGCACGAAGCAACAGACGGTACTCTGACCGAGAAGTGAACATCCGGTAGGGCTCGGTGGTGCCTAGCGAGATGAGATCGTCAATGAGTACTCCAATGAACGCGTCGGCACGATCGAGAACGAGTGGCTCTAGTCCCATGACGCTCAGTCCGGCGTTCATTCCGGCCACAATACCTTGGGCTGCGGCCTCTTCGTATCCGGTGGTACCATTAATCTGACCAGCCAAGTACAACCCTGGCAGCATCTTCGTCTCCAACGTCGGTTGTAACGATCGTGGGTCCACGTAATCGTACTCGACCGAGTACCCAGCGCGCACAAGCTCCACTTTTTCGAGTCCCTTGATCGTGCGAAGCAACTTCAGTTGCAGCTCCTTCGGCAGCGCGGTACTAATACCGTTCGGGTACACAATATGGGAGTTCAATCCCTCGGGTTCGAGCCAAAGCTGATGCCGCGAGCGGTCGGCGAAGCGAACAACCTTGGCATCGATCGACGGACAATACCGCGGTCCCACGCCTTCGCCATCTCGACCTCCGTCATACTGAGGCAGCATGTGCAAATTCTCACGCACGATACAATGACTTTCCTCGTTGGTATACGTAGCATGACAAACCACTTGCTTGTTAGCTAAATGCACCAGTTGATGCTCGTTCAGGAACGAAAAAGGCTTTGGCGAAACGTCGCTAGGCTGGACTTCGAGACCTGCGTAGTCAATGGTGCGTCCGTCCAGTCTTGGTGGGGTCCCGGTCTTCAATCGGCCAAGCGGAAACTTGCAACGTTCCAGTGTCTTTGCAAGACCCACGGCTGGAGGCTCGAGTCCGTCAGAATCGCGCATGTGTCTTCCCGCTGGAATCCGAATATCGGGTCCCTGGTAGATCATGCCACGCAGAAAAGTACCAGTTGTGATAATCACTTTGGACGCCAAAATCTCCCGACCGGCAGAGGTCACGACTCCCTTCACTTGGTCTTCCATTCCGTCCTCACTTTGACTTCGTTTCTCCAGCACAAGATCGTCCACCCCCTCTTCTAGCAACCACAGGTTTGGTAGCTCCTGTAGAGCTTTTTGGATTGCTTGCTGATACAAGTCCCGGTCCATTTGCGCTCGCGGACCTCTCACCGCCGGTCCTTTGGCGGAATTCAGCATGCGGAACTGGATGCCCGCAGAGTCAGCGACTTGTCCCATGAGGCCGCCCAGAGCGTCCACCTCGCGCACTATTGTGCCTTTGCCCACCCCACCGATTGATGGCTGAAGTCACAAGCACAAGCGATGAACAGGTTAGACACAAACACATGATTAGTGGCGGTAGATGATGATCGTTGACACGTTCGACCATTGCCAAAGCGTACGTTGCATGACATTTCGCCAATTGTTGCTAACTTTTGAGTCACTAACGCGGTTTTAGCACCTAAATGCACGACAAAATATTCAATTTGGTTTTAAACGTTGCTGGAAGGTGAAAAGAACAAGCTCAAAATGACGAAGCACAGTTTTTTACCCGTTCTGGAGGCAGCAGCAGCAGCTTCGCAGCCTGCATGACCGCCGCCGACTACAATCACGTCGAAGTGGCGACTGCTGCTCGCAACGCTCAACGCTCGGAGCGCTGCGCGGCGCACGTGGGGTGCGGCACTTGACCGTCGAAGTGTCAGCATGCCGATGAGTGGCTGAAAAAAACTGATTGGCTGAACGAAAAGACGAGGTCAACTGTTGTATTTCATTTGTATTAAACATGTTACTGTACTCTCGCGACGTCGCATGTAAGCAGACGAGGGGACGGCTAAATGAAGTTTTTTTCTATACGGTCCCATCATCGGATATTGACACTCGTTCTTTTGGTTATGTAAGTACAATGAACGGATTCTATGGTGCTATGCACGTGAAAAGCAAGTCTTGTACGCCAATCATGCACCTACTGCGACCACCTTCTGATACAATTTCCATCTCTGTTGCCACAATACCGCCAACACAGCAATACAACGACTTGTCATGCTTCGCAGCAAGCTTCGGCACTATGGTATACGCAAACATTTTTCCTGCCATGGGATACTCAAAATGGATTACCGTATCGTGGCCGGCCTCTAAATGGAGACGTTTACACCTCCTAAGTCCAGCGCCAACGTCAGCTTTCACCTTTATAGCGTAGAATGAATTGACTGTAAAAAAGCACTGAGTCTAACACAAGGAAGGTACTGCAGAAAGCCATTCGTCCAGGCATGTACGCGTCTGTCGACTTTCTTTTTTTCTTTGTGAATTGCGTCGCGGCAAACAACATGTTTGCAAGGTGTGAAGTACAACGATCGTTACGACACCAAATGGTGTGGGGTTATCTCTGACGGAGACACTTGACTCCATACAATCATGACGCACACCGTCTAGCCGCTGCGGTCACTTGATCGCACGTCAATGATACGAAGCAGCGGATGGTGCGATTGTACAAATTATTCTGCACGCAACGGTAATCACCTGCCGACACATGCTAAGAAAGTCTGAGATGCAAAACCACAGCGTTAGATGCTGCGCTGTACGTAGTAGAATCGAGCAACGGCACTTTTTTCCTTTCGTTGTTGACAGAGATCGAGGTTGAATGTGACCGCAGCACTACGGACATCGCAGGTCGGTGGCATGCAAGAGTCCAGTCGGCAACGTCAACATCAAAGTGAACGCAAGAAAAAGGTCTGGTTGGTTGGCACGGCGACAGCTACGACTGAGCATGAACAATCGTGATGTCAATCTCGTCAAAAATGTCGACAAACAACGAAACATGGCAGCGGCATGAGATATACCGCGTGTGCCGATATGGCAAAAACATGAGCTAAAAGATGCGCTGGTCGAGTCAGGCGCAACTTTACAAGGCTTCCGGTCATGTTTGACAAATACATTGCTGTTTAAAACACTATTGCATGACACGCTACAGATATTTCGTTGATCGATCGCCTATTTCTGCACATCTCCCTCAGTTACGCCCATTACGGCTCTTTTGTTCACGACGAACGCGCTGTCGCTGCGAGCAGTCACTTGGGCCACAACACTTTCGTCCATTGTGTCATTCTTGCAAGCCGTGCTACCAAAATGACTCCAATACACGATCATACTATACAGAGATTTTGCATGATGTACAAAAACAGCAGGAGCAACGCTACCAAAGTAATGGCAAAGTCAGGTGCGTGGCAGCTTTTCGACTATCGAGAGATCTGAAGTACGATGCTCGACGATACACACCGCAATCCATTATTCGTCATCTGATCCATACATATCGAGCATAGCAGTGAGCAAGTTGAGGGTGTCGCCATTGGACGTTTACTGTGAAGAACCTGTATGAGGCGCAAAGAAACGCTTTATGGGTGTTGTCGGGCTTGTCGAAACTTGTATGTTCGTGCCCGCAATGCGAGTGCAGACAAATATTGAACGCACGTGTGAACGAATACACGAAAACGTTTTGCACGGAAGCGAAAAGTCACGAGGTGACATGGATAGATGGCAACAGAAGACGAATCGGTATCAATCGCAGCGTTATGCTTCATTCTCAATCGTTCTTCGCTTTGCTACTGGAACAAGTGTCAACTCTCTCGAGCGCCGCGGGTTTCTCGACCTCGTTGACATCCGCACATTTGTCCTGAATATCTTCCACCAAGCCCTTGCGGAGTAGGACGTAGCCCATGACAAGAAAAAGAACATACCAGTATACGTGCAGTAGCACCAACATGCAGAGCAGTGCATTGCCAGGGTACAAGAAAATGCCGACCACATATGGGTTGACTTCTTGGATGACAATGGTAGTGTGGTAAAGCAGGTGGAACGGGTACACGTACAAGCGCGTGTATCCCCAGGAAATTAGTAGCAAGACATACATGACGACGACCAGAGGTGTGTTGCCCGTGTCGACGACGGCCTTGATCGCATCTACATTTGCACACGGCGAACCACAAAAGAGCACACTAGAAGTCAGCCAGGAACCTCAGAGTAGCATTGGAAAGCCGGGAAAGCAGTCCTACAGCCTGTTACATCGCCGATGTCGTGCGTGAAAGCTACGAGCGCGCCGATAGCGCAATAATTGGCAAGATACGACCCGCCAATCAGGATGAGGGTCACCAAATGGTGCAGCAGCATCTCGATAAAGTCGTTTCGGATCGGTGAAAAGAACACCATGTACAACAAGCTGTGGAAGTGGTAGCCGAGCTGCACAAAGTAGTAATACTTGAGTATGTCACTTGGTGCGTCGTGCAGCGTCAGAAACGCTTCACGCAGCGAGCCTTTTCCGCCAAGCACGGGTGGGAACCACTTTTCGTCCCGCATCACGTAGTACCCTGCAGCTGTGATGACCGCAAAGTAGCTGAGCACAATACCGAAGAACGCAGCACATATCATACTGTTAGTGTCGGAGAAGAGAGAGCGCTTTTTGCGTCGTGTTGGATGCACAAGTCTCGTACGTAAACTTGAACGACACTGTCGCGAAGCGCTCGACGCGGTCAGCGCGCACGCGCTTCGCAGGCGCGAGCACGCGACGTCCAATCGGCTTTGCGAGCGCCAGAAACGCGAAGCGCAGTGCCATCATGAGGAAAGCAAAGCCGATGCCAATGACCCACTCGCTGATGCGCGGCATGTTCGGGTCCGTCTGGAACTCGGGAATGGCCGCGCGCATCTGCGCCACGCCAACGAGTTCGGCGAGCACGATGGGCACGAGCATGACGGTGAGCGTGAGGAGCACGAGCTCTTTCGTGCTGAGCTGCACGTGCATCTCCGTGGCGGCCATGGCGGCTCGAGGATGACTGGACGGCGCAGGAGAGGCGGAAATGGTACCCGATGTGGGGGTGTGGAGGGCGCGCGCGGCGTTTGTGTGATGTGATGTGCATAGAAATGGATTTAGAGCACACCCAAACGCCGCGCGGGACCCGCTGGCGTAAAGGGGCGGCGGAGGTTGAAGCTACGCGGACGCTCGAATGGATTTGAACGAGCGATAAATCTTTCTGTGGGCAGGCGGACTATAATTTGGGACCGGCGGCCTCCTGGAGCACGTGCTGCCCCGTTTCACAGCCCTTTATGCGAACCGCACCGCCTGTTTTCATTCGACGTTGAGTTTGCGAGCGAGAAGCAAAGGCACTGGTCAGTGCTCTTCCGACCAAGTGACGTCTTGCGGTAACCAAAACGTCAAGTTGGCGTCGACTACTCACAGTGTTATCACTTTGACAACATTGGGCGGTCGGTGTGCAGGCACAGTCCGTTCGACAGAGTCATGGCTATGGATAGACTCAGATCAGAGTTTCCAGTGCGGAGCCAGCCACGGGTTAAGGTCAGCTGCAACGGATGAGCTGATCGTGCCAAAGGTACTGAGCTGGGCGACGAAGGGGAGAAGCTGCAGGAAGATCAGCACTTTGATCTGGACCAGGTGATGGCCAAGCTACAAGTGTTTGCTTTTGCGCAGGCGGGTATACCAGTCGTTCGAGGCCATCGGTTTCGCAAAATATGATAGCTCTTTTGAGCTAATATTTGTCACGATTATAATTATTCAACAAACTTACTTTGATCTGTACCTGCTTGAATGCACCCGATATCTCTTGCGTGATCTTCCTCTAAACACATTGCTTGAGAGTGGGTAATTCTTTGTCGGTTTGTGACGACTGTTCGCTCTCGTGCTATCTTCCCGCCGGAGTTCTCCTGGTTCAACAGTCCCACCATGCCCTTGGCACATGGTAAGTTGGCAGATCCGAATGCTGAGAAGTGTAGACCTGCGTCAAGACCAGCACCAACATGCAGTGTTTCCTCTCTTCTTCTCTTTTCTCTGCTCTTGCGATTTCCAGTAAGCTTTGCCTGCCTTTGCGATTCAATGCAACGGCTTGTGTGGGTCCGATATCACCTTGCATTAGCAACAAGTCCGTTGATATGTTGGCGACAGCATATGTTAATTTACGACGTATTTGCCACAAATGGTAAAATCCTTTGTCTGTAACGATAAAGAGGGATGTGCGCGTACACGTGGCTCGATATCTGTCTAGGGAGATGTAACGGGGTAGGCCCGTTACATAATAATTGATATTTTCGTATCAATTTTGAACATTATCTATATGGATAATGTTCGATTGACATTACCCGTAAGGAGTAAGGTTGAAGGAATATTACCCCCGATGGTAATATACCTTTGATGGGTTGCTCCACCTGATGGTTGATGTTCACTGTAACGGGGTAGCCCATTACATGATATTGTCGCTAAGGATAAATGACAATAAAGAATACTGCGTTGAATATTCTTTCAACAATATCACAGAGCATGATGATATTGTTGAAGATGACCGAAGGGTCTACTCATTGGTTGATATCGTGATGATATCAACCCACCAATCGCTGCTAGACGCGCGCAATGGGTGGTGAGTAGACGTCATCATACAAATAGCTACATTAGTATAATTAAGTTCGGACAAACAGAGATACAAGAGTTATAGGACTAAATTATATTAATAACAGTTTTACTTTTCCTACGGCTAGAGTCTTTCACCTTGGTCGTTCTACCTTCCTCTGTGTAGTTCTACGACTAGCTGGGCACTGACTATCACTACAGTCAGTGATAGTAAACTCCGTACTGGTTGACCAGTACGTAGTCGTCGGTGCCCCGTTACACCTGGTAGCACTTTGTAGTCCGTCCAAGGACCACACTCGCATCGCCCATCATGAACATGTTGGACGAAGTCGAAGGCGACAGATTTCACGGAACCCGTGAAAGCTACTCCCATTTGAGCGACATCGAATGGAGTGCGATTGAACGAATGAGTTTCGACCGTTGGAGAAGAAGCTAATTGGGCCATGCTATCCACACGGGATAGAGACCAGCAGCATACCGTCATTAGCAAGTTCTTGCAACGAGAACTTGATGAGTCGCGAGCGCAGGTGAACTTGTTGCAACAACAAGATCACCAGCGGAACAAAGAACTGAGACATTCTCAGTCCGCGCAGTCGACACGGGAGTGTCGACCGGGGTCTGTAAAGCTAGAGATCTCCAAGTATCACGAAGCCGAGGAAGACTCCCTGTTAAGATGGTTTGTCGAAGTCGACGATGCCATCGAGTCCCGCTGCATCGACGATGAGCGAATGCAACTTCCATTCGCTCAGTCGTACTTGGCAGGGGATGCCAGGAATTGGGCCCTGAATCTCAAGTTGCACGACCCAAACGTGTTTGGGTCGTTGACGGTCTTCAATACCCTGCTCGGCGAGACGTTTGAGCCTCCCAGGTCAGAGTTCAGGACACTGTCTGAACTCCTCGAAATCAAACAGGGCAAGCGTAAGGTTCACACTTACGCTCAGCATGTACGCTACCTTGCAAGCTGCATGTTAGTGAACCCTGTGAGTGAATTTGTGTTGATCACAATATTCATACAAGGGCTGTCCGATGGTCCCGTCAGGACCACCCGTTTCGCGGAGAGCTAAAGACGCTCTACGAAGCAATCTTCGCTGCGGAGCAGGAAGACTTTAGTGTGAGACAGGCTCACACTACGCTGACCCCCTTTCGTCCGCAGAAACGATCAGCGGTCGGAGGTCCAGAGCCAATGGACCTCTGTAATGTCAAGGGCGAGAAACCTCGCCCCGCGAATAACAAGCGATCGGTGAGATGCCATCGCTGTCATAGACTGGGACACTACGCATACAAATGCAGTATCCCCCGCTCAGACCTCGCGGTGCTGGGCGCAGTAATAGTCCACCAGTAAGAAGAACTGGAGGGCGAGGGTCCGATGCTGTTGTAGCCGCAACAGCGAGACCAACCATCAAAAAATGGTCGAGGTCAGTAGGATCGGAGCGCCCTACTGATCCAGCAACCTCAAGAGAATTTTAAAATCTCTTGACGAAGGTTGCTCCCGACACGCAGTCCCTGTGTGTCTCTGCACTTGGTGATGAGGTGTCTCTCATCACCTTACTATTGGAAGTGACAAAGGACTTGTCACTTCGCGCCCTAGTTCGCTGTGGGGCGTCGAACAATTTTGTTCGCCGCCAGTCGCTGGAGGCAGGAAGTTTCAACTTCGTGGACCAAGAGATCTCTCCAACGAGAATGAAGGTACGCCTAGCGACAGGCGCATCGATCACTGTGAAGAAAAGTGTAGTGTAAATCCGCTACACGTTAACAGGCGAACAGTACGATGATGACTTCATCGTACTCGACCTGGATGACAAGTTTGATGTCATCCTAGGAATACCTTGACTCAGGAGATACGAGCCAAGGGTGAGTTGGCAGTATCGATCGGTTGCGGTACCTGCCACTTGTTCCTCAGATAACCACCTGAAGAATGTCTTGGAACGCCCACACTCACGTGAATGTACTACGAGTGAGTGCGATGGCCTCACGTGTGGTAGGGTCGTTAGCACGACTGTACAAGAACACAATGTAGATGATCACTACATTGTGGAGAAAGCTCTCCTGGACCCTGTAGAAGTGGTTTACCAGAAAGTAATCAAGATATTGAATATCTTGGTTAATGATGGATCAAGCGTAGGCGCTTACACGCTTGATCCGCTTGTGCATCCGAAACTCACTTCGGAGATAACTCAATTGCAGACGCTGGAAACGAAACGGTTCATGCGTGATCTGCGCAGGGGCAAAGTCAGGCAGATCTGTGTACTCGTCGCGGATGACGAGTACGTTACCGATGTCGATCGGCAACGGTTTTTACTGAGACCGAGAGGGTTCTCAGCAGTTCATCGATGGACGACATTGATGAGAAGACTCGGATTGAGAGATATGAATCTCAATCCTGGGAGTCACTTCAGGCAAATCCTTTGTTTAAGGATTTGATCGAATTCAAGGATTTATTCCCTGAATCCGTGCCTTGTGAGTTGCCTAAGGATAAAGGCACTCGACACGAGATCGAGCTCAAACCGGGCTCGAAATATTGTGTCATGAAGCAGTCGCCACTGCCTCGTGAACAAGTGATAGCGATCAACAAGTTCTTCGCCGATCGCTTAGCAGCGGGCCATGTGAGGGAATCGACATCCCCTCGCAGCTCTCCGACCTTCTGTGTGCGGAAGGCCACAGGAGGATGGCGGATAGGGCACGCATTCAACAAGTTGAATGCTGCAACGGTACCGGCTCAGACGCCGATACCGAGGAAGGCCTTGATCATAAATGGTATGCCAAAGAGCACCATCTTTTTGTCCATGGATCTGATGGTGGATTCTATCAGATCCTGATGCGTGAACGGGACGTCCCGTTCACGGCAGTGAGTACCCCCAGCGGGATGCTGTGGGAGTGGCTAGTGATGCCACAGGGTCTGAGTAATGCCCCTGCAACATTCAACAGATGTGTTACAAATCTGTTGAGACCGGTGCGAGACTTCGCACCGAGTTACTTCGACGATGTGCTCGTCCATAGCCGGGATATGGACGGAAAGACGGACGTTGAAGTTCACAGAACTCACGTTCGTCAGGTTCTTCAACTTATGCGCAAGCATAAGTTGTACGCCAACCTCAAGAAGTGTATCGTCGCGGCAAGCAAAATACCACTTCTTGGGTGCATCGTGGTTAAACACGGCGTACGCCCAGATCGCTATAAGGTCAAGGCGACCACCGAATGGCCCGTGTCAGTCGATGTCAAGGGACTTCGTATGTTCCTTGGGATAGCGGCGTACTTGCACAAGTACTCGCGCAACTACGCCGAGATGAGCGTTCACCTTTCTTGTTTACTCAAGAAAATGTGAAGTGGTCATGGAACGCTGAGTGTCAGCGTTCCATTAGAGGTATCAAGCAAAGCTTAATGCAATCGCCAGTATGGGTGAT